TGCATTTACGGAAAGAAAAATCTAGATTTACGAAAGAATGCATTTACGATGATTCATCTCGTACGGAGAAAATACATTTAAAGGAGTTCATTTTCGGGAAGGATTCATTTACCAAAAGCATTAAATTTTTCCGGAGAAGACTACATTTAAAGTAAGATTCATTTACAAAGAAATTCATTACGGAGAAGTTTCCATTTAAAGAGAAGATTTCATAAAAGAAGCATTCATTTACGGCGATTCGTTTACAAAAGATTCTTTTAATGGAGAAGATTCATTTACGGAAAAAAAATCTATTTGACGTAAGATTCATCTACGAGTTCATCTACGGGATAGATTTCATTTACAACAATCAATTAGGAGAAGATTCCATTTAATGAAGCATCATCAATTTACAAAGATTCATTTAACCGAGATTCATCAATTTACAAAAAAATTTATTTATGGAGATTTCATCAAATTTTACGTAAAGAATTCTTTAGAGATTCCCACCAAATTTACAAAAGATTCGTTTACGGAGATGTCATGCTAAGAGAGAAGGACATTTAAAGGAAAAGTTCATTTTACAAAGATTTTTTTTATGGAGAAGATTCATTTAAGGAGAAGATGTCATCATAAGAAGATTCCATTTACGGAATGTTCCATGTTAAACGGAGAAGATTTTAAATTCATTAAGTTCTAAATCTTAACGGAGAATATTCATTTACATAAAGAAATATATAGGAGAAGATTTGATTTACGAAGATCTCTACCGGAAACAATTTCATTTACGGAAAAGAATTGATTTAAGGAAAAAGATTTAGTTTACGGAAAATATTTCATTTATGGAGAAAGATCCATTTTAAACGAGAGAAGACGAATTAACGAAGACCTAATTACGAAAGAAATCATTTAAGGGAGAAGATTCCATATACGGTCAGGGTTTCCCAACCAGGGTGTTCGATCCCCTGAGGGTGTGGAGGTAGCTTCTAAGGGTGCGAGAAGTGTTCCAGTCTGAAGACAAGCAATTACTCTAGTATAATACTCATAATCAAGAAAGCACGGGAAAATAGCCATTTAATTGATCTTTCATTATATAAACGTATTAGAATTAGTTTTTGTTTTTTACATGTAGATTTGTCAAGCAAGTGATGTATTTTTGTAGGGTTTTATTCAAATGAATTTCTTTGTCATATGTTTGATTTTTGTTTGGCATATTATTAGAAAATGAGAAAGAATATTTTCTTTTGTTATTATTATCAGATCTATTGTTATAAATATCACAAATTATCATAGTGTTACATTAAATTGTTGTTATGAAAATTATCATCAATCATTTTGTATTATTATTATTGGTAGTAATGATAATAATAATAATAGCAGCAGTTAGAACAGTACCACTCTAATCAATTATAATTACCTTATTATTCATTAATTAAACTGATATCATTACCATTCATAAATAAAACACTATTCTTTCATTGATAACGAGAACGATAAACCATTATCAACAACTCCCACATCTCCCCACAATTCTCCCCATTCCAACAACCTTCTCCTCCTCAACCACCAACGACCACCCTGCCACATAAACAACCTTATAAGAATCATCAAGATTCCATCAAATAGGAGAGGCGTGCATTTATGACAACAATTACCACGGCGCTCTATATCAGTTAAAGAACAATTGGCGGCGGTGGCGCTGCGAAATGTTTAATCGGTATAAGGGGACGGAGATGGGGAGAGGGGGGGGAGGGGGAAGCAGGAGGGGGGAGAGAGTGGAGGGGGGAAGGGAGGCGGGAGAGAGATGGGGAGAGAGGGGAGGGGGAGAGGGAGGGGGAGAGGAGGGGGAAGAGGGAGGGGGAGGTTGGGTGAAGGATGGGGAAGAAGAGAGGGGGAAGAGGGAGGGGGAGAACGGAGATGGGGAGAGGGGAGGGGGAGAGGAGGGGAGAGAGGGAGAAGGGGGGAGAGGGAGGGGGAAGGGAGGGGGAGAGGGAGGAGGCGAGAGGGGGAGGGAGTGAGGGAGGGGGAGGGGAAGGGGGAGAGGGAGGGGGAAGAGGGGAGGGGAGAGGGAGGAAGAAAGAGGGGAGGGGGAGAGGGAGGGGGAAAGGGAGGGAAGTGAAAGGCTGGTTTGTGATGGTGCATATGAGGTATTATGAGTATGTATTATACACACACACACATATCTATATATCTATTAATCTTATCTATCTAATCTATCTATCTGACTATCTATAATATATATATATATGTCTAAATATATATATATATATATATATATATATATATATATGTTATATATATATATAGATATATATATATATATGATAAATAATATTATATATATATATAATATATATATATATATATATATATATTTATATATAATTGTAATGTATAATATATATATATATATATATATATATATTATATATATAGTATAATGTATGTAATATATATATAATTATATATAATTATATATATATATATATATATATATATATATATTATATAGATAAGATAAAGGAGAGAGAGAGAGAGAGAAGAGAGAGAGAGGAGAAGAGAGAGAAGAGAGAGAGAGAGAGAAAAGAGAGAAAGAAGAGAGGAGAGGAGAGAGAAAGAAGAGAAAGAAAGAAGAGAGAGAGGAGAGAGAAGAGAAGAGATGAGAGAGAGAGAGAGAAGAGAGAGAGGAGAGAGAGAGAGGAGTGAGAGAGAGGAGAGAGAGAGAGAAAAGAGAGAGGGAGAGAGAGAGGACCACAGATAAAGGAGAGAGAGGAAGGAGAGAGACAGAGAGAAGAGAGGAGATAGAGAGGAGAGAGACAAAGAATAAACACACAGTGACGCACACAATGAACACACACACACACAGCACAGGGTGCACAACACACACACACAACACGGGGCACATTGACACACACACACACCCACACAGCACACATAATAATATATATATATTATAATTATATATATATATATATATTATATATATTATATATATATTTGTGTGTGTGTGTGTGTGTTTTTGTGGTATCCATTAAGCGGCCCAAAGAAGGACACAAACAGGCAAGAAGAAATCAGAGTGCAAGATAAACGCGAAGATTCAGACCTTAGAGTCGCCCCGTGCCCG